TTTTGATAAAACTATAATGTTTATATTTATAAAAATTTGAAAAAAATTTATCGATATTAGTATGAAATTAACTATTTACAAAATGTTGTTCTTTATGTAATTTCTTCAATTCAAGTTTTTTATTATAGTTTAATTTAGAATTAATAACGAAGTAATTTATTTTTGGTTTAATAATATAATTTTTATAAGGATAATAATTAATTATTCTGTTATAAGTGAAACTCAATACTTATCTTAATTATATTTTAGATTTTTTATATTTAAAATTAGATTTTATTCTATAGTTGATTATGTTTATTTGCAGTTAGTTACACGAATTCAAACATGAAGCTTTAATAAGTTGTAATTATGCAAATTTATTTGTAATTGCAGATTTTAATTAATATGCATCAATAAACATTACTTCATGCATAAAAAATGGTTTTTAAGAATATTTGTCAAATACAATATAATACAGTATAGATAAAGAGCAAAACATATAGTCTTAACGTTTAAGTTTTTAAAAGAAATATATTACAATAAAAACTAAACAACGTAAGTACAAGTCCGATAATAATAAACCAGTTATAATTTTGATATTAAAAATTTATATTTATAAATTATTTTTTAGGTTATAAAAATTAATGTAGTAATAAATAGGGAAAAAGAAGCATGTAATTGAATTATTAGATGGGAGTAAAAGCCAAAGTTACGAATTTTAGACACCTTTGCAATATTCTATTTCCAGATCTCAAGCAACCATTTCCCATCTTTTATTCATTTATTAAATAAAATAAAAATGTTTAATAAGTTTATAGGACGATTTTGGACATTTCTGTAAGTTTTTTTAGGATTTTTTTTTAAAAATAAAGTGTTTCGTATTAACTATTTTATATAACATGTTTGAGAACTGTCCTATAAACTCATCTATTTATATGACGCTTGTGTTCATATGATATTTTTTCAAATAGTGTCGTATAAAATAACTAATATGATATTTTACTTTAGAAGTGTCCTAAATACTTTTTAAAACACGTAAAAACGTCTTATACACATATTGTAACACTTTTAGTTATGAAGTTTTTTTGTTTCGTCCTATATACTTAAGTTCTATAAAGTATGATATTAGAATGTATAGACATTTTAAGCGTTTTATAAACATAATATTGTTGTAGTGAAATGTTGTAGCTATTATCAGGTTTTTTCCCACCAAAATACAACATTAAATGAGGAGAGAGAGAGAGAGAGATTAATTAGAGTTTTCCTTAAAAATCATTAATTATCTCTTAATTAAAACATTAATTAATTTAAATTGATAATTTACAATGAAGCTTACAATCATAAAATTCTTAAATGATTAAAACCCACTGGAATATATTGTTAAATAATATTATAAATGTATTTACACATGGTGCATTGGCATTAATTATATTTATTTTGGTGCATAGACATGTGATATTTGTGAATCCCACATATATATATATATATATATATATATATATATATATATATATATATATATATATATATATAAGAAAGGGGGTCGCATAATATAACGAGATATATCTTAATTTTAATGTTTTGTTTTATTATTTATTTATGTCAATATAATACATTTTTAGTAGTTTTGAGAAAGTTATGATGTTTTTATTTTAAATAAAATTTAAATATAAATATATCATAAAAAATTGAAAAAAGAATATATCGATATTAATATCAAATTTACTATTTAAAAATCTGGTTTTTTTGTGTAATTTCTTTAATTCGGTATTATATTTATAATTTAATAACGAAGTAATTTATTAGTTAATAACTAATGATTAAGTATTTTTAATAACTAATGATTATCTTAGTTATATTTTTATATTCAAAATGAGATGATTATCTCGTATTTGATTATGTGTATCTATAGTTAATTATACAAATTTAAAAATGAAGATTTAATAAATTATACTTATGTACAATTTACTTGTGATCTTGAATTGTAAATAACATGCATTAATAAACAATATTTAATGCATAAAAATGATTTCTAATAGTTTTTGTCAAATGCTTTATAATAGAGTATATATATTAGAATGATAATTGTGTAATATAATGAGATATATTTCAATTTTAATGTTTTATTTTATTTTGTCTCTATCAATGTTATAATATAAATAAAGAAAATACAGAGCTTCGACATGGCCGTCACCCATGTTAAACTTTTTTATCTATTAAATAAATAATTGGGATATAAAAACAAAACAATATGGAACAAATCGATGACTTGGTGCTCCTCAACAGAAACTTCTATCTCTTGTTTCAAAATAATATATAATAACTTTGTATTATACTTATTAAAAAAATACTAATATAATTTTATAATTTTTGATTGGTAAATACTATTTTATAAATTACTATACAATATTAAATATATGAATTTGTTTTATTTTGTTACTAATATAGTGATGGCCAAAAATCGGTTCCGAGTCGGGCTGGTCCTTATCGGTCTTGGGCCTCAATAGTGTCGGTCATAACCGGTCCAGGTCGAAAATACTAAGCCCGGTTAAGCATTCTTATAACCGGTTATAGTTAGCCGGTCCCGACCAAAAAACTAGATAATTTTTTTAGTGACAGATTTTTTAATTCATTATAAAATTTATAATTAGGTCGCTCAAATACACTTTAAAAGTGCGTTCTATTATAATTAAAACCAAGAATTATGAACGTTTTTTTTGCGTTTTGTATGTTAGTATGTAAATTTTTCGACCATGACACTTATATATAAAGTTTTGAAGGCAAAAAAAGACCAAAAAACGGTATAACATATATATATATTTTTTTAAGAAAATGCTACTTTTTAAAAAACCGGGTCGGGCCCATAACCAGTCTCGATCGCGGTCGGGCCGGTCCCTCGAAACCCTTTAAAACCGTAACTGGTCTCGGTTGGCAGTTCTATAACCAGTGGCAGAATCATAAATTATTATACTTAGGAATGTCGAAAAATTTCAAAACCGAACAATTTGTCCAAACCAAAAAAGGTTTCGGATTTTCATTTTTGGCTTAAATGTTTCTATTAACAGAATAAAGATAACTTATTCGGTTCGATTTTCAGTTTTTTTTTACTATTTTCGTTAAACTGACAGATTATAATACTATTTATATAGATTCTATACATTTTACACTTAAAACAAGTAAACACATTGCTTATTAAATCGTTAAAACATTAGGTTTGAGTTGAGTTCTAAGGAGAAGTAGGTAGGTATTGAGTTGAGTTGTCATTTATTGAATACCAGAAAGTGCGAGATTAAACCAATTAAAAATACGAAGTTTATCATAGTTGGGGGCCTGTTATTTTGTGTCGAGGTCCCAATAGCAAACACTAAATAAATATCACAAGTTTAATAAGATTGAACCAATTTAGTGAAGCATTTTATTGGGGGCTTTTGACCCCTACCAGCCTCATGTGTATCCGCCCCTGTCTATGACTGGTCCTTACCGGTCTCAGGTCAGGCCGGTCCTTTGCATGTCCCGGACCAATTTGACCATCAGTACGGAATAAAGTAAGAATTTAATTATGTGATTAGATCAATTTATAGTTAATTTACAAATTATTTTATAAAAAAAAATCATCAAAAATAGATGTCTTTTAATATTATTTGAATGTCTAATGCTAGTACATAACTTCTATATATAGTAACCATTCATATGTGTTTGAGTTTGGTCCATGATTACTTCTATAGAAGAAAGATTCAAGTGTAAGTTTTTAGAAGAATCGTAATTAGATAGATCGTTAGGGGTTGTTTACCTAATTGCTTACCCGGTAAACACTTGTCGTTAAAAGTCAACACTATAACTTATTTTATCGGGTAAGATTGTAGTACATCAAAACGTATCTTATGTAACAATTCACCTGGTAAGTGTTTAACCGAGTAAGAGTTGTCACCCTCACTTACCGGGTAAGACTCTCCATTTTTATCATCGCTCTTATCGGACCGGGTAAGATTATTGCCCATTGTCATGTTCATCCGGTAAGGAAAATTACCTAGTAAGTTCTTATCGAGTAAATGTTTAGTAAACGACCCCTTAGTATCTTCAATGGATTCTTTAAATTCGAGCTTTTAAGGATTAAAAAATCCAATAGATTTTCTAAAGCCTTTTCAAAATGGAGATTTTAATGATTTTTATTCCAATAGATTCTTTGAAACTTTCTCTAAAATGAAGAAAGTAAGAGAGAGAAAGGTTTCAAATTTTGAGAAATCTGTAGAATCTCTAAAAATGATTACATAAGAAAAAGAATGATTTTTTATATTTGTTACGGTTGAAAATCCTTGAAATTAAAATGTTTAGGTGAAAGGAATAATATATTAACGATATAATTAATATTGTAATCATCAAAATCAAGTAGGTGTTAAAGATTTGACTTTTAATTCTTCATTTTAAATGCATCGATCGTATTTAAGATATATTAGACAATTTTTTTAATAAATACAATATTTAATTTAACTTATATATATATACATATATGGTATATTTCAAATGCAACTATGTCCATTTGTACAATCAATACAACTCAATCAATTGAGATGTTTATAAAAATGATGAGAGTTCATTTATTATGATTTGAATATTTATGAAAATGACTACAATTCATTAATTATGATCAATACTTTATATTAAGAAACAATCAAAACTTATGAAATCATATATTCATCAAATTTTATTGACGGTTGAGATTGAGTTGTATTGGTTGTACAAATATAAAGGGTTGCATAATAATGCATCATTAAAATACGATTCAATTATTTTCACGTCTTATAATTTAGTTATAGTTCTCATATAAAACCTTTTTCTCTATACATATTATCATAATTTTATATATAAAATTTCCTTTTCCATAATCAAATATTAATATATTTTAATYCATGACCATGACTATATATTATATATTATATATATCAAAAATCTTAAATAAATATTTCCAAAAAATAAAAACCACCCACCACCACCTTTGTTTTGGAACTTGTACCTCTCTCTCTCTCTCTCTTTCTCCATCTCTCCCATCTCTCTCTCTCCCTTTCTCCCTCGATGAAGGTGACAGCGGCTGAGCTGCCATATGGGAAGAACAACAACAACAACCACCAGCAAACCACCCTTCTTCGAAGCTCCTCCAAAACCCTAATCCTCGTAACCCTAACTCTCATCATCCTCACCGTCGTTCCTCTCTACTACCCTCTTCACAAATTCCCAACCACCACCGGYCAYGCCTCCGCCGGCGACACCATTGCTCCGGTGTACCACCCACAAGATGAAGTCATCACCATCAATGACAACCACCACAAATGCGATGTCTTTTCCGGCGAATGGATCCGAAATCCAGATGCTCCGTATTATGATAACATGACATGTTGGGCTATCCATGAACACCAAAACTGCCAGAAATATGGACGACCCGACTCCGATTTCATGAAGTGGAGATGGAAACCCGATGGGTGTGATTTACCCATTTTCAACCCGTATCAGTTCTTGGAGATTGTGAGAGACAAGTCTCTGGCTTTTGTGGGTGATTCCGTGGGTAGAAACCAAATGCAGTCCTTGATTTGCATGTTATCCAGGGTAAGCTATTCATTCATTCATTATTATCTTCAATTACTATTTTTCAAGATTTCTTGAAAATAATTATAACGTTTAATCATCATTAAATAAAGCCAAAACTAAAATGACATTTAATAAAATAAACACAAAAAAATCACTTTTTAACGTTTAATTTGACATTTATTTTGATATATTTAATTTGTCATCGGTTTTCTTAAGATTCTTTCTCGATCTTTATTATATATTAAGACATTTTGGATACGGTTATTTTTTAATTGATGTATGTATTTTATGTGATATGATAATTTGTGGGTGTTATTTATTGGATGTAAAATGAAAACAAATTACGTAAAATGACAAACAAAGAATCGACAAAAATTTATATGAACTCGTTGTGGTGTTAATAATAATCAAGAGTTAGATGGCATCTTATGTGCAAATGATGCACATGGGCGGTGGGGCCCTTGCTTACGTGGAAGATTGTGAGTCACCATTGGTCCTTATTTTCAACATCATATCGCCTATTTTTTCTTCCCAAGTTTCCTCCTAATCATTTGGCATTCAAATATCACCGATTCATGTTACATAAATACTGTTGAGCGGTTAGCTCAACTGATAATAAGTCTTGTGGTTTTTAGGATTTTTCTTAGAGGTTGGTTATTGAGATTTTTCTCGCTGTTCTTTAGGGTCTATAAAATTAGTCGAGATGTATACAAATTAGTCTAGATACCCATGATTAACAAAAAAGAACAGATAAACTCACCTTTATGTGTTAATTGAATATGTTTTTTTTTATCTTCAATATCAGATTTTATGTTTTATATTTTTAATGCTATGATTTGATTCAACTGAAGTCAAAATAGTAGTGCCCAAAAATGACCCTTTGAAAATGATGTTATTTCGGGTCCTGAGTATGTCTACGTACAAGTACTGTAATAAACCACTGGATCTAACGCAGTAAATTAAAATTACATTGTTTTAGGTATCGTCACTTGTATAATTACTACTTTGTCTCAAATTCCCGTTTACAAATATATCTTGAATGGTTGTTGCATAGTGTTTATGCTTTACTACGTGCATTTCACATATTTGTTACACCATACACGACTATTTTTATACCCTTTTACATGTTTTAACTTCGCGCATATCGATCACTATTTCTATCCAATTTTTTACACCCCTAGCTAGAATCGTACATGCCGACAACTCAGCGCGGTCATCGAGTTGATGTAGACTCGCGTGTGTGTATACATACATATATATGTATATGTATATATATATATGTATACATACATATATATGTATATGTATATATATATATATGTATATATATATATATATATATATATGTACATATACATATAGTTTTGAGGTGTAGCGGTTGAGTGTTGGGTGAGGAAAGTCAGTAGCATAAAGTGTAGAAGGTTTGGGAAAAGGAAAGAGTCGTGAAGGTTGATTATTTGAAAGGAGCTTTGTCTTTTTATTATTTGTTTTCTTTCAATAATTATTATGCCTCTTCAACTTTTATCACTTTAAAATTATTTTAATTATAATTAATTTATAATGGAGGTTGTCACTCGGTACTTGTCAACTGCTCTTCATTTCCACATTTTTTTTCATTATAATATATATTATTTTTATAAATATCTAATTCAATCACATCATGATATATAATATATATAATGACTTGATATCATAAAATTAGCATTGTACAACATTAGATTATATATTTATAAAGTTGATTAATAAACATAAATTGGTCTTATGAATTATATATAATATTATACATATATATATATATATATATAATTTTTATAATTAGTTTAGGGTGTTGTAGATCTGGACCATATTATATCATTTACTCCGTGACAATTTGCAGGGAATATAATCCGGCTGGCAACATGGACTCCTCAACCCTTTTCCAAGATCAAATTTAAAATAAATAATATTAAAATAATTATATTTTATAAATTAAAATAATTGTAGTTAATAAAATGTTAAATTTTAAAATATCTTGCAACCGACAGCTTTAAAGAAATCAGCACAAAAAGTTAAAAAAAACTCTGAAAATTACTGACATGTAAAACTGAAACGAAAGAAAGTAAATTATTTTGTTATTTTATTTATTTCCAATTATTTTATTAAAAGAAATAAAGATAAATAAAATACTTAATATTTTTTTTTTCTTGCTTTTATGTTTTCAGGTGGAATATCCGATYGATAGATCGATAACGAAAGACGAGAACTTCAAACGTTGGTATTACGTCTCCTACAACTTCACTCTTGCCACATTTTGGTCMCCCTTTTTAGTCAAAGCCCAAGAGGCCGAATCCGACGGCCCGATCCCTACGCGCCTCTTCAACCTATACCTAGACGAATTCGACGAGAAATGGAYGACCCAGATCGACGAATTCGATCACTTAATCATCAACGCAGGCCACTGGTTCTGGCGGCCTGCGTTGTACTACGTCAACCGACAGGTAGTCGGTTGCAGCAACCGTCAACTAGACAACATCACAGACTACCCCATGACGTTTGGATATAGAAAAGCCATACGAACCGCGTTCAAGGCGATCAATAGCCGAGAAAAGTTCAAGGGTGTGGCGATTTTACGTACGTTCGCCCCGATGCATTTCGAGGGCGGGGCGTGGAACGGGGGCGGAGATTGTGTGAGAAAGATGCCATTTAAGAGCAATGAGATAACACTAGAAGGTGTTAACTTGGAGTTATATATGACACAAATGGAGGAATATAGGAAGGCAGAGAAGATTGGGAAGAAAAGGGGTTTGAAATATAGGCTTTTGGATACAACACAGGCCATGTTATTGAGGCCAGATGGTCATCCAAGTAGATATGGGCATTGGCCCAATGAAAATGTGACACTGTATAATGATTGTGTGCATTGGTGCTTACCTGGGCCCATTGACACGTGGAGTGATTTCCTGCTTCACATGTTGAAGATGGAGGGTCTGAGATCAGCTGAAGAGAAATCACATTCAAGAGGTTAAAAATGGTGGTTGAATTGAATGTAAGATTTGGTTATATTTTCATTTGTTTTCCTCATTGATTTTTGTAGGCTTTTATAATGGCCTTGAATGAATGGTGTGGATTTGAAAATCTGTATCTAAGTTGATTATTTTTATCCCACATATATGATATCAGTATTTGGAAACTTTGTTTATGGTAACAGTTTACGGGATAGAGACAAAGTTTGCATATTTCATTATATTTAGGCTGTACAACGTGTGGGATTTACTGGGTTTGATTACAATGCGTCAAACACGCCTTGAAACATGTCGATATAGACCCGACATAGAGTATTTCCATTGTACATAACTTGATATAGTTAATAGTGAATAAAAAAGCCCCACCTCACTACATCCATTTGTGTAGGTCCTGTAAATTGGCCACCTAAAAGACTACTTCCAAAATGTAACATTTTTTTAATAAACCATGTTCTCAAATTTGGAAAGAAAAGAAAGAAAAAAAAAAATAAACCTTTTCATTTGTATTACTGAAAGGAAAGGGAGGGAAAAATAGAAAGGGAATAAACTTTCATGTTTTTGAACAGAAGAGAAAAGAAAGGAAACATGTTTTTTATATAAATAACAATTAAGACTTGTTTGTTAACAACTTAATGAGCTTAATGTGACTCACAATTCATTCAGTCAGTCGTGTATGACTGCTTTTGTTTGGCAGTGGCTTAATTATATAGAAAGTGGCTAATTCAGTAAGCTTCAAGGGGAGAGTTTTATGCGGAAAGTCAAGTTTTTTTTTTTTCAAACTTGACCCTCGTAATTAAAACACACGCACCTTCCATCTATGAACAAACCTTCCTAAACGAAAAACTTTTTAATCTACATAGACAACTTTATCCATACAAGACTCAATATAAAACCAATATTTTATGCATAAAAATGGGTTTTAAAGGTTTTTGTCAATTTTTTTATAATATAGTATAGATATAGATAGGGAAAGTTTCATTTGAGAAATTGTAAGTATTTGAAAAGTAAATAAGTGATTTTAATTTTTCATACGGTTAAGATTGGTTAAGAAATGCAGCTTTGACTAGTCAAGCAAAAAATAAATGGGGAGTTTCTTAACTTTTATAAATAGACGACAAACAAATGTATATTTGAACCCATATTTCATATGTGAATCAGTTAATTAGTTCATATGTAAATCACACGAGTTTATATGTGAATCAATTAATAAATTCATATGTGAATCAGTTATATAGTTCAAATGTTTATGAAAGATAATTAGAGTTCATTACTTATAATTAACAGTTTATGTTAAAAGACAATCAATATATTCATAAAACCATATATTTATATATATACTAAATACACGATTACGATATTGATTTGTATGATTTTTATTTGATCGAATCTGTTTACGTATGAGGGCAATATAGTCAACAAACATTTTTATCTATTAAACAAATAATTGGGATATAAAAACAAAACCATATGGAACAAATCGATGACTTGGTGCTCCTCAATAGAAACTTCTATCTCTTGTTTCAAAATAATATATATCAATTTTTTTATTATACTTATAAAAAATACTAATATAATTTTATAATATTTGATTGGTAAATACTATTTTATAAATTACTATACAATATTAAATATATGAATTTGTTTTTATTTTCTTATTAATAAATAGTGATGGCCAAAAACCGGTCCTGAGCCAGACAGGTCCTTATCGGTCCTGGTCCTCAACAGTGCCGGTCATAATCGGTACTGGTCGAAAATACTAAGCCCGGTTAAGCATTCCTATAACCGGTTATGGTTAGCTAGTCCTGACCAAAAAAATATTTTTTTATAACTTTTTAATGATAGATTTTTTATTACATTATAAAATTTGTAATTGGGTCGCCCAAATACACTTTAAAAATGCGTTTTATTATAATTAAAACCAAGAATTGTGAACGTTTTTTTGCATTTTGTATGTAAATCTTTCGACCATGACATTTATATATAGGATATTGAAGGCAAAAAAGACCCAAAACAAAGGGTCATATAACAACTATATTTTTTTTTTATTAAAGAAAATGCTACTTTTTTAAAAACCGGGTCGGGCCCATAACCGGTCCCGATCACGGTCGGGCCGGTCCCTTAAAAAACCCTCCAAAACCGTAACCGATCTCAGTCGGCAGTTATATAACCAGTGGCGGATCCAGAAATTATTATGATTGGGGGCATACTTAGGAGTGTCAAAAAATTTCGAAACCGAACAATTCGTCCAAACCAAAAAAGGTTTCGGGTTTTCATTTTTGGCTTAAACATTTTTATTAACAGAATAATAAAAACTTATTCAGTTCGATTTTCAGTTAATTTTTTTTACTATTTTCATTAAACTGACACATTATAATATTATTTATATATATTCTATACAGTTTACACTTAAAACAAGTAACCACATTGCTCGTTGAGTTGAGTTCTAAGGAGAAGTAGGTCGGTATTGAGTTGGGTTGTTGTTTATTGAGTACGTGTGAGATTGAACCAATTAAAAATACGAAGTTTATCATAGTTGGAGGCCTTTTATTTTGGTGTTCGGGTCCCAATAGCAAACACTAAATAAATATCACTAGTCTAATAAGATTGAACCAATTTTGTGAAGCATTTTGTTGGGGGCCTTTGAACCCTACCAGCCTCTTCTGTATCCGCCTCTGTCTATAACTGGTCTTTACCGGTCTCAGGCCAGGCCGGTCTTTTACAGGTCCCGGATCAGTTTGACCATCACTACATAATAAAGTAGGAATTTTATTATGTGATTAGATCAATTTATCGTTAATTTACAAATTATTTTATAAGAAAAAAACATCAAAAATAGATGTCTTATAGTATTATTTGAATGTCTAATGCTAGTACGTAAGTTCTATATATAGTAACCACTGATATGTAGTTTGGTCCATGAGTATTTCTATAAAAGATTCAAGTGCAAGTTCTTAGAAGAATCGTAATTAGATAGAGTTACAGTTCTCGTATAAAAAGCTTTTTCTCTGTACATATTATCATAATTTTACATATAATTTTTTTTTTAATTTTTGCATCATTCCATAATCAAATATTAATATATTTTAATCCATGACCATGACTATATATTATATATATCAAAAATCTTAAATAAATATTTCCAAAAAATAAAAACCACCCACCACCACCTTTCTTTTGGAACTTGTACCTCTCTCTCGATGAAGGTCACAGCGGCTGAGCTGCCGTCTGGGAAGAACAACAACAACAACCAACACCGGCAAACCACCCTTCTTCGAAGCTCCTCCAAAACCCTAATTCTCGTAACCCTAACTCTCATCATCCTCACCGTCGTTCCTCTCTGCTACCCTCTTCACAAATTCCCAACCATCACCGGTCATGCCTCCGCCGGCGACACCATTGCTCCGGTGTACCACCCACAAGATGAAGTCATCACCATCAATGACAACCACCACAAATGCGATGTCTTTTCCGGCGAATGGATCCGAAATCCAGATGCTCCGTATTATGATAACATGACATGTTGGGCTATCCATGAACACCAAAACTGCCAGAAATATGGACGACCCGACTCCGATTTCATGAAGTGGAGATGGAAACCCGATGGGTGTGATTTACCCATTTTCAACCCGTATCAGTTCTTGGAGATTGTGAGAGACAAGTCTCTGGCTTTTGTGGGTGATTCCGTGGGTAGAAACCAAATGCAGTCCTTGATTTGCATGTTATCCAGGGTAAGCTATTCATTCATTCATTATTATCTTTAATTAATATTTTTCAAGATTTCTTGAAAATAATTATAACGTTTAATCATCATTAAATATTTTTTTCTTGCTTTTATGTTTTCAGGTGGAATATCCGATTGATAGATCGATAACGAAAGACGAGAACTTCAAACGTTGGTATTACGTCTCCTACAACTTCACTCTTGCCACATTTTGGTCACCCTTTTTAGTCAAAGCCCAAGAGGCCGAATCCGACGGCCCGACCCATACGGGCCTCTTCAACCTATACCTAGACGAATTCGACGAGAAATGGACGACCCAGATCGACGAATTCGATCACTTAATCATCAACGCAAACGCAGGCCACTGGTTCTGGCGGCCTGCGTTGTACTACGTCAACCGACAGGTAGTCGGTTGCAGCAACCGTCAACTAGACAACATCACACATTACCCCCTGACGTTTGGATACAGAAAAGCCATACGAACCGTGTTCAAGGCGATTAATAGTCGTGAAAAGTTCAAGGGTGACGATTTTACGTACGTTTACCCCGATGCATTTCGAGGGCGGGGCGTGGAACGGGGGCGGAGATTGTGTGAGAAAGATGCCATTTAAGAGCAATGAGATAACACTAGAAGGTGAAAACTTGGAGTTTTATATGACACAAATGGAGGAATATAGGAAGGCAGAAAAGATTGGGAAGAAAAGGGGTTTAAAATATAGGCTTTTGGATACAACACAGGCCATGTTATTGAGGCCAGATGGTCATCCAAGTAGATATGGGCATTGGCCCAATGAAAATGTGACATTGTATAAGGATTGTGTACATTGGTGCTTACCTGGGCCCATTGACACGTGGAGTGATTTCCTGCTTCACATGTTGAAGATGGAGGGTCTGAGATCAGCTGAGGAGAGATCACATTCAAGAGGTTAAAAATGGTTGTTGAATTGAATGTAAGATATTGATTTTTGTATCTAAGTTGATTGTTTTTATCCCACATATATGATATCAACATTTGGAAACTTTCTTTACGGTAACAGTCTAAGTATTCTACGGGATAGAGACAAAGTTTGCATATTTTATTCTATTTAGACTGTACAACGTGTGAGATTTACTGGGTTTGATTACAATGCGTCAACACACGCCTTGAAACGACATAGAGTATTCCCCTTGTACATAACTTGATATAGTTAAAAGTGAATAAAAAAGCCCCACCTCACTACATCCATTTGTGTAGGTCCTGTAAATTGGCCACCTAAAGACAACTTCCAAAATGTAACATTTTTTTAATAAACCATGTCCTCAAGTTTGGAAAGAAAAGAAAAAAAAGAAGAAATAAACCTTTTCATTTGTATTACTAAAAGGAAAGGGAGGGAAAAAAATAGAAAGAGAACAAACTTTCATGTTCTTAAATAGAAGAGAAAAGAAAGGAAACATGTTTTTATTAAT